TCAAAAATAGCATAAAATCCTTTTAATAAGAAAGATCACGGATAGATGTGAGTTTATTATTTAAATGTTTATATTTATTCTACATCAGAAGACTCTATTAGAAACCTACGGTTCTGAATCAGACTTCTCTAGCTTTGCTTTGGGCTCACTAACTTGGGTTCGTGTGAGCTCAGTGATCAAAAGGGAGACCGGAGCTGCGTCCTTTCAGGAGCCAAACAAAAATGCGTTAATGCCACCTCTTTTGTGTAGGTGTCTGCTCTGGCTTTAGAGAGGGTGGTGTGCTACAAAGCGCTACAGCTGTGTAAAGAGACAGCACGAAACAGGATGACACTTTGCTTTTCTATCCATCTCCAGGACCTAAAAAGGTGCTGTGGATGTCTCTCATCGTAGCAACATGGCAGGCCTTAGCTAAACAAATTACACTGGCAGCTGCACTCTTGTGTTGCATATAAAATAAAACTATGACTTGTAGATGGAGTGTGTGTGTGTGTGTGGGGGGGGGGGGGGGGGGCAACAGCTGCAGGTACATTCCATACTGAAGAAGACATAATTCCAAGTGTCGGGAAAGGATTTGCAATGAAAACTAACCGTTGGTTTAAGGTACATTCGTGCAAATGTTCAGCAAATGTTTCATAAAAGCTACACGATTCAACTGTACTGCTCTTATTTAAGTGTTATCCTTATAGCTAGAATAATGTGTTTTTCTGACTTTCAAATCTTATTACATGTTCATTTGAATAATTCAGAGTCTCCTCATAAAAATCCCAAAACTGATATTTAATATAAGCTTTTCCTCCTGTTTCCGCTGACAAAACCATTTCTCAGACTTATCAAACCAAAATGCTAATAAAATAACCAAACTGAATCCGTTTGGACAGAATTATAAGTCAAATGAATTAAGGAGCCTCTAACAGCTGCCTCTTTCAACCCCTGAGGTACACACAAACACGTTAAGTACTTTCTGTGCTAATCACTGGTTTGTGCTGGATTCCACATGTTCAATAGAAAACATCTACAAAGGCTAAATCAGGCCACTCAGAATATAAACTAGGATTTTTGTTGCTTTTTTCACAGCTTTGAGATTACGATTCAAATATCAGCAAAAAATTAAACAATTAGCAGAATAAAGTAGAAATTGGGGGTAGACCGATATACCAATCAGCCGATATATTGGCTCAATATATCGACAAATCAGCCCAATATATCAGGCAGATATTTACCATTTTTATATATTGGCATTGGCTGATATTCTTCCTTGGTAAAGCTGATTTAAAATCAGGCACATGTTTGGACTACTCAATGCTGTTGCAGAATTTAATTTAAATATATTTTTACATTCACTTATAACATCTGCATAATAAATACTCTAGCTTTATTTGGGTGTCTGACTTTAACGCTGAGCAGTGCACAAAGTTACGATTTAACAGTTAAACTTTGAGTTCAAAAACTAATTCAGCTTCAGAAACGTTGTGCATCAACCGATGTTATTAGTGACATTTCAGCATGAAAATAAGGTGGAAAATGTCTGGATATTGGCCATGAAAATCAGCCATAGACTGACCATGTCTCCTACATGCCGGTGTCGGTACAGGATCTGCTCGGGTGCAAGATCGGCTCGGGGTCCTAATATACCGTTGAAACCACCAGCATTTGGAAAAAAAAAAAAACTGAAAAGTCAATGGTGCCAAAACAGAGAAAGTCAAGCGGAGTTGTTCAACACGGTGGAAATGAGATATTAGATCAAATTAAGTTTGTGTGCCATTTTCCAACCTCACCTTATCTACAGAGGAACAGATGCTTTCCTGATATGGAAAAGTTCAGGAGAAAGTGCACGGGACTGATTTCTCCCTAAATCTTTGAGCTGAAATGAAGGGAGAAAAGATGAACCTTCCTGAGATTATTACAGGAAACAAACACAAAGCCACAATCACACAATGTGCAAATTGTTTTCATTATATTTGTAGACGAAGGGAGCTTTTAAATTACTTAATTACAGTTTACCGGCACCCCAACGGAGAACTGTGACGGTTTAGTGTAATGGATGGGAAGACTCGTTCATTTACACTTTCTTTGTCCAATTTTCTGGTTATTTAGATCAAATCTGCTCTAGATGAATGAAGTCACGGCTTTCCACCAACCTGTTCCACAAATGAGCAAAAAGGCTCGACACAATGCTAATTTAGATGGAACAGATCTGATTTGCTCTGGACTGAAACGGGTGGAAACAACTGCAGCGTTTGTGTCATTGTCTGTGTTGTGTCATTGGTAAGAGGGAGAAACGGTGTGAGCCAGGAATAAAGAAGTGCTGAGAAACAAAATGGGGACTTTATAGGTTACGTCTGAGCGTGGGAGGATAAGGGATCTTCAGAGCTAACATTTATACGGTCAAATATGTTTTAAATTTGTATTAGGCCCTCATTACTGACAAGAAATATTAATAATGGTTAAGAAGATTGTGCTGTTTCAGTTTAATGTGTTGGTTTTACTCTTCTGCATGTTATACATATTTTATATAGCAGAGAAAGGCTGTGTCAGTGTGAGAGGCTGGCAAATGCACGGACTCGTCATAGCTTTCCACCCAAAGCGCTTTATTAATTTGCTGCCAAGTAATTATCTGATCAAGAGGTCTGTGTTTTAATCTTCACAGAGGCGTAGGGGAGCGGGATTAATACTGAACAAGCCAGTGGTGTGTGTAAGTGAGTCATTTCTCCTTTAGTTGGAAAAGGAAGAGAGACTTGGCAGCTGAGAGCTTCATCTGCCCTCCCATCAGTTCATTACAGAATTCCCTAATAGGTGGAGAACAAGTGGGAGAATGATCCGGAGCGCGCTGGCTGAGGAGCGGGCCGCCACCCAAGACACGAAAACCAGACATCTTGTTCACACTTGGCGAGACGCAGATGTTCTGGAGTCAGTCGACAAGGCGCTACGACACCCTCAGCTTCCATCTTTGCGGTGGTTCTCCACTCAGAGCTGCGCCAGTTGGAACCATCACCTTGAGAATGTTTAATGAAGGTGATGCAGACCTAAACTTCGGGTTCAGTAATTCTACCTCCGAAGAATAATAAGACACCTTCCAGCAAGATCAGAGGGAAAGTTCCAGATATGTCTCAACAAGAAAGGCAAATCCAACAATAAAAGCATTATTGTCTTCTCCTCCAACGGCCTTTCTCCCAGATTTGAGTCGACCCAACCAAAATTAATAGTCTGGGAAAATCCCAAGCCTCTTCCTCGGACTACAAAGTCAACAAGTCCTACCCGCAAGAATTCAGGCTCTTAGTAGCTGTGGTGACCTTAAGGGTGTGTTTGCACAAATCTTACTGAATGAAACCAGTGGTGATGTCACAAAGTGCTGCATGTTTATACAGAGCCCAGCAGTGGACTAAATGTTTGTCTCTGGAAGAGGAAAAGGCTGGAATCCTCAAACCAGACACAGCTGACAGATTTGTGGTTCCTGCCACAGAAGATGTGAAGCCATGCATGCTCACCGTGTTCCTGTTTGGTGGAACGAGCATACTTATGGGTATGTTTTATTGTTCATTGTTCTAAAGATACCTTTGTTTTTTAGCACCATGGTCTCAAACTGGGACCAGTTATGTTAGCCGCCTCGCTGGAATAAAACCAGTGGTAAACATAAAGGAGTGGTGGGTTACCTTTAACCCTGCATTTAAAAAACAACAGTAGAGATTTGAAATCTTTGAGCCGATACAGATATCCAATATTAATATCACTGTTACGGACAATAACCGATATTTGCCAATACCGATATATATTATTTGGGCTGGACGATACATCAATAGTTCAATATATCTATGGATAAACATGTGGTGCAATAGAAACAAAATTGCTATCGATATACTTTTTTCTGTATCGTCCATATATATAGAGAGACACACACACATATATATATACACACATGTATATATATATATATATATATATATATATATATATATATATGTGTGTGTGTGTGTGTGCGTGTGTGTGATATATATATATATATATATATATATATATATATATATATAAACAGACACAGACACACACACACACACATATATATATATATATATATATATATATATATATATATATATATAAACAGACACACACACACACACTGACATTTATGCTTCTGAAGTCAGCAGATAACTGAAATCTTATCGGCCTAATACACATATGTTAAAAAATAACTAACGTCTGCCGATTCTGATATTGATATATCGTACATCCCTGGTATAGATCCTTCTTTAACCTCAGGCCCATTACTGCCAGAGACTGTCCTGAATAAAAAGGGTTTTGCAGACAGATGTTTTAGCGGCATCCTCAACAGACTCCAGTGATGATTCAGTTCACTCCACAGCTCTGATGCTTCCCTTTATTAGGCAGAGACACAGACTCCAGGGTGGCCCATTGCACTTAATAGTCCCATTTTTTCGTTAAGCAAATTATCCAAAAATCGTATGCTGATGATGCTTAGTAGTACCTGCTAACAAAAACCCAAATCATCTGAGAAACATTATTTCCTTCAGCATCACGACGGACCGTCTTGGTCCTCGGAGCTGATCTGAGGAATTTTCCTGTTAATGGGAAGACATCTTCCTAAAATGAATCTAAATTATAACCCAGATATTATATTCCATCCAGAGTTTTTGATGCTTGTCTCCAGAGCTTTGTGCTAAAAGTTGAAAAGCTCTCTACAATAACCCGGTGAAATCCCACCAGTTTTACTCCAGTGCTCTGAGTGTTTCACTGTTGCATTTAATAGATTATTCTCACAGGAAGCAACATCTGTTTTAGCTTTGTGGTAGCACTGAACTGAACATTTATGGAAACGTTTGGATATGAATTCTGAGATTTATGATCACATCCTGCAACAATGCAACTGTGATATTTACTTTTTGTGAGTTTCTCATGTAGAATCTTAAGATATTTTGTTTCCAAACACCTTTGTAGGTGTTTCGCCCCTAAAAAAATCAGAAACAGAAGAAATTCAGACTCACCTTCTTCTGCAGCAACCAGACGAGTCCAGCTGGAGAAGATGCCTCCCAGCAGCAGCATGCTCCAGTAGATCAGCTCCATGGTGGTGAAAAATGAATGGACTTGGATTAAAACCCCACTGACAGCCTCAGCTCGGCTCTGCGCTTACTGGTTTGACACCAGTCCGCATTTAAGTTCAGAAGAAGCCTCGGGCTGGCTGCAGCAGAAAAAAAACACCAGTGGCACCAAATATTTATCAGAAAATAAAGCAGCTCTCTTGATTGTGGTTGTTTATTTTAGGTAAGAGGCAGCAGGAGGAAAGTTGTCCAACTTCCAGCTGCTTTTAAAGTCTTCTCTGCGTACAGCTGAAGCTAGCCAGCAGCTGAACTCCGACCTCGGTCCTTCTGTCAGCAAACGGAGTTCATGGCTGGAACTTGAATGGTTGGCATTAAAAGGCTCTTTGTGCTCCACACCACTTCTCCCCCAGGAGTCTCCCCCCGCTCACAGCTCGATAACCGAGCAGGATGGAACCGCAACCAGGGCACCACATCTGTTAGTTAGTGGCTTCATACCTTTACTTATCACCCTCTCGACGTCTTCTCAGAGAGAACAAATGTAGTCCAACCAAATGAGGCTTGCTTTTTCCTTTAAATTCCTCCAAAAACCGGAATATTAACACCTGGCTTCGGATATTTAAGAAAATCTGTACCAGACGTGGTGAGGGGATCCAGCGCGAGAGCTTCAGCCTGGCCTGGTTTCTCACACTAAATCAGACCGGAGGAGTCAGAAAAGGCCAGTTAGTTCCAGTCTGCCCGCTATAAGATGGTACTTAAAAGTTGTGCGCTATAAGATGGTACTTAAAAGTTGTGTGTGGAAGTAGCTCCCAGGACCGACTGCTGGAAGCTGGTCACCGAGGACTAACATCTCCGCATCAAGCCCAAAGTCGACTGGTACCAGTTAGCCCCTCCCTCTCTGGTTTCCATGACAGCGGAGTCAAGGGATCGCTCCAAGATATTGTGTTTCCTGTAAGCTCCTTCAAAATAAAACTAAACATTTAACCACCCAAGAAGCTTTTTTAATTAGGATACATTTGAAAAATAATAGAAGAAGAAATAAATATTTGATAGGGATAAATAAAAAAAATCACACCAGATTTGGTTCAAAAAGTGTATAAATATTTTTAAAAAATGTGGTTCCGATTTATTGTAATCCCTGGTAAATTGTGATTCCACAATGAAAAAAACAAACAAAAAACATTTCAATTCTACTGTGAGAATCAACAAGTGGCTGCCTTACTTTCCTCATATTTATGTGGAAAGGCTGTGACACAATAGAAAATTCTCTGCGTATCACACTTTTTGTTGTTTTTACAGATGAAACTCAAAACATTTTGAAAATTATGCAAAAGTTAATTTATGTCAGTAATTCAGCTACAAATGTGAAATTAATATATGAGATAGATTTGTTACTTGCAAAGCCAGATATTTCAGCCTTTGTTTGTTATAATTGTGTTGATTATGGTTTACAGCTTATGAAAACCCCACATTCAAAACCTCAAACAATTAGAATATTGTGAAAAATATCAATATTCTAAACTCTAAGTGCCACACTTTCATCAGAATGAATCCAAAATGCCTGCAAAAGGTTCCTGAGCTTTTTGATGGTTTCTCAGTCTAAGCTGAATTACTGAATTGTTGACCATAATCTCATTTTCCAGTTTCACCTGTATTTCTGTGCCAATAACTTAAATATCTCTCATCTCTCTTGAACGAAACATGCTTCATGCAGAACGACATCAGGAGATGCTTTTATTTTGACAATGAACAACCCTGACATCCTACATTGTTATTGTATTTTTGTGCATCTTGACTAAAAACAACAACAAGCACAGGCATGCTGCTTCAAATAACTGTCTGCAATGATAAAATCCTCCAAATAGGGACATGATGTTGATTGTACACCTCTGTTAAATAATTTAATTTATTATTTAGTTTAATGGCGGACAGCAGCCCAGACGATCTGTCCTACATCACTTGTCGTTTGTAAGTAGGGTATCATAGACTCTAATAGGGGGTCAAAAAGATGACTCTGTTAATGCTGATCATGCTGCAGCTTGTCTGATTTGTTGCCTATGATGGATTAAAAGACATCCTGTTTTTAAGAAGACTAAAATGTTGTTTAGCATTGTTGATGCTGATTATTGTATCGCTACAGTATTTTGTAAATTCACTCCTATGCTGAAGTTTGCATAATTCATGACATCTGCAATGAAAATGTGAATGTTATTTTTGCAGCCCGTCCTTCTGAACATAGTACATTATAATGACAGCCATGACATTACTGATTCATTGCATCAGAGTTGCAGCACAGCTTATTTTCTCATTTAATTAATGTCTGTTTTCCAGTGGGAGCTGAATGGAATCCCTTTTTGAAGAAAAATCAGAGAACGTTACCCGGCATGAATGGAGAAAATGCTAATTTTAAGTCCAAATGACAAAATGTAAATAAGACATTTGCAATTCAACTTGACTAACAAGGCCAGAGTAATGTATAATTTGGGCAGGCCCAGGCCAGCTAGTTCTCTTTAGTTGGACCCAAAAAAGTGTTTATTTTGCAACATCTGTAAGTAAGAAAATCCACGGTTTAGAGCTGTTCATCCCGCTGACTTCATCATGGGCTTAACAACAGAGGATATTTCATCTGCTAGGCCATAACACATTCTTTGTGTGCATTTATTAACCCGCATGACCCTTGATTTTGTTTAGTTATTTTTTTCTCCTTTAAACTGAGCTTGCATTTTGCTAGACCTAGGCAAAATGAGCTTTGGAATCAAACTGACCCATCGGTGTGAGAAAACAAGGTTATTTGTGCACACTGCTGTATTTTTTTGCAGTGGCGGTGTTATCAGACACCTGAAAGTAATCCTTACTTCCCTGTTTGTCACACCAGATTGAAAGCCAGAAAGAATGCGAAGCATTCTGTGAGAGTGACATGAGAATGTTGCAAAAAAATAAAAACATCAGTAAGCCTCATGAAAATAGGTGCATGCCTATCAAAGTTCTTAGTTTGATGGATGTCTTCCCATCCTCGTTGGTACATGCTAAGATTTCTGTGTTTTCTTAAAGGACACTCTGGCATGATGCATTGCAAATTATCCTGTAATCAATGTTCCATCACCCTCTAGCTGAGCTATAGCCAGCCCATTAGGGTTTGACCACGTTGTACAGAAAGGTGGCTCTGCAGCTGTAACAGCAGCACAGTGAATTATACCACAAGGTGCAGGCCTTTAACAACCCTAATTTACAGTCAAGGGGACATAATGGCCACATGGCTTGAGGTATGCCATTGAAAGCCAGGGACAACTGGTATAAATACACATTAACAGTCTCTTTGCCAAGCTTTTCTGCTAGAGCAATACAGGAGCTCCTGCTGTGATTCATAACAGAGATCAAACAATCACGCTTACGTGATCTTATTCAGATGTTCCTTTTGCACAGAGACAGTGGCTCAGTAGTAGCACTAGATCAGGGCACATACGCTGCTCTGTAGAGTTTCTATGGGAATGCCACATGAATGTGCATGGGTGTTCTTGTTTTGTGGATTGCCATTCAAAATTAAAAGTTACTCCCTTTAGACCAGGTGACAACGTATGTTGTGACTGCTTCACGGAATTGTTCAGCCATTTTTAAGTGTTTCTATACAAAAGTGACAAATGACTGTTATTTAAGCTGTTATAAATAGATTTCTCAGCTACTTCTGATTGGAGTGTAACGGCATGACGGTTCTCTGATTTGTGCCAAAGGTCACATTTGCCCAGCTGGGTCAAGCTGGGTCAGACAGTACTTTGAATCCACAGATTAAAACCCAAGGAGCTGTGATGTCTGCTCAAGATCAGAACATCATCTGCTGTTCCGTCCCAGAAGAAGGACACTTCAAGGCACGATGATAATAATTAAATAATAATTCATTGATTTTATTACTGTTTAAATAATAATTACAACATGATCACTTGGTTCAGATATAAAGGTATTTTAATTACATGAAATGGATTACTATGCTTTGGGTATTATAATGATGATAATTATAATGATTATAAAGATGTGTTCAGCAAAGAAGACCTTCACCCTGTTCAGCTAACACAGCGTTCAGATAAACAATAACTGCAGCACATGTTTTTGATGCATGACCAAGCTTCCTTCCAGAGAGAGTGGGAGGGGTTCTGAGAGTTTTTGGTAAAAACCAACATCACAGATTCACGTCCAGTTCTTGAACCAACACCACGAGGGAAGGAGAACGGCCGTCTCCTAACCTCCACCTGCTGTTCTGTCACGCCGACAAGAATGGCTAAAGAACGAACGAAACTAACGAACTAACGAAAGACTCTCCCAGGGTCATTTGATTTCTGAAGTTAAGTTAAGACGATAACGTGCATCTGCCAAACGCTTCGTACAGCCGTGTACCCGGGACATCTCTGGACCGGACCATCGGACACTTGCGTCTACTCTACCAGTCGAAGTGTCACGTTGGATGAAACCATCCTCCTGATGTCTAGATCTGCAAAGGGGGTCCTGTTTGGGTGAGGTTGAACACGACAGATGACGTTTGATGCTGTTTTCTCTAAAAATAACTCAGCTATCTGCAAAACATCATTTTCACCCAGAACGCTTCATCCTCTCTGAAAGAAACCTTCTGAGAACTTCATTCACGCATCCCAAAACTCATCATTCTCAATTTAGCTCCATCCAACACAGGTTTGCTTTGAAACAAGTTTAATATCAAAGCTGTTAAAGATTGTCATTGAAATTGCCATCCATGAACTGTCATTTTATAATTGTCGTTTCAAATCTTTCAGTTTAAAATTGTTAGTAATAAAATTTCTTCATTTTTAAACTTGCCTCATTATTGAAACGAAACACAGAAAAGGGTTGCATTTTCAGTTTATGGAATGGAAAGAATCTTACTGAATCTTCTGTTTAATAAATAAACTTTTGCTATTAATTTAAGCATCTTAAATTCATTTTCACACCATTACAGGAGTAATGCAGTTTACATCTCAGAAGAGCTAAACAGTAACAGTAAACAGTCCAGGGATTCTCGATCTTGGTCATGGAGTGCCGGTATCCAGCAGGTTTTTGTTTATTTTCTGCTCCAGTGCACTTGATTCAGTGGTCGAATCATCTGTGCAGCATCTCATCAGGCTATGTAGAGACCTGTTAATCACCTGCTGGTTAAAATCAGGTGTGTTGATGCAGGGAAACAACTGAAACATGTTGGGAACCCCCAAGACCAAGGTTGTGAACCCCTCGCTAACCCAAATGCATCAAGAAAGGTGATAGGTTGTCATCTTAACAAAGCTCCAAAACTCCAACAGCAATTCATGCAAGCATTTGGACATTCAATTTTTCATTAAATGTTCATTTTAGCCGGAACATTAACAAAGTGAACCATGGAGCCCTGTGACAGACTGGTGACCTGTTCAGGGAGTCCCTCACCTCTCACTAAGTGACTGCCGGAGATAGGCGCTTATAACACCAGATGGACGGATGGATGGTTGGATCTTTGGATGGCTGGATGGGTGGATGGACAGATGAATGGATAGATAGATGGTTGGATGACTGGATGGATGGATGGATGAACGGACTGACAGAAGGAAGGATGGATGAAAGGACAGATGGATGGACGGATGAAATGATGGACAGATGGATGCTGCGATGATCATTTTGTTTGTAAAGGACCAAAGCCTTCCATTTAAAACGCCGTGTGATATGAAAATGACATCTTCAGTTAATTATTTTCTTTGTGGAACTTTAAACTTTATTGTCAACAACAATAAGAAATAATTAAGTTGTACATTAAACTGAAGGCCAAACGTTGCTTCTTCATAACGATGGAGGATAGTGTTTTCTTACATCAGACATAAATCACTGTTTGCTTTATTAATTCTCCCTGAATGTTATTTTTATTCCAACACTTATCTCCAGGATGGTGTCACAACAGGACTTTAAAAGTCAGAGAGAAGCAGAGAAACCTATTAGATTTAACCACAGGAGCAGGTGTTATCCTGATCTCTGAGTTTAAGAAGGCAGCTGTTTCCACACAAACAAAATGTGACATCGCCACACGTAGAATCCTGCACCTCACCTAGCCGAGCCTCAGTCTGAGGAGGAGTCACTCCATCTTCATGCAGTCACTCTAATAAGGAGCAAGAAAGCAGCCAAAGTGACAAAATTCACCTTTACTTAAAAACTAACCACATGGACGGTTTGAACAACTGAGCAAAGGTTGTCTAGAGTAGATCACAGATGGAAGAGTAGAAGAAGAGGACTTGAAAGTGAGCAAGATAAAACCAGAGCACGCTGAGATGGAACGCCCGAAGATGAATGTGCTGCTGTGAAGATCCATGTTTGATCCTGCTCTTCAGGCTGTAGCTGCCATGCTGTAATTAAGGTAACAAATGATGCTGACAGTCATCTGCTTATTGTCAACGTATTTGGTGGTGGAAAAGAAATGCCTTACCGAAACAGGTCTGCTGCGAACGCCATCTATTCTGCGATGGGTTGGAAACTCCAGAGACAAAATCTACCTACTGGATGGACTCCTGGTTGTAAGAGGCTTGCCTTTAATAAAGAAATAAATCTGCTCAGACAAATATCGACGCATCAGTCTGACAGTTTGGCAGTGGAGAGACACAAATATATATTTAGTTTGCAAAGGCAACACATTATAAAATAAACATCGATATTGACTGAACGTTTTCCTCTGGATGACCGGAGACAGAATTTAACATTTATCGTCCTGAGGTCGGGGCTGAGGAGTGGATTCCAGGAGCGTTTCAGGTAGAACGCCCTCCAGCCAGCCGAGACCTGGGGAGTGCTTATGCCGCGTTGAGATGCCTCAGCGCTTTTTCTACACACAGCCACTGAAGTTCAGAAGTGTTGCGGTTACTTTGAAATCATTCTCAGCTGAGTCTTCCTTCTAACCCTCACATGACACACATGCCAGCTGTTCTTTCATCCAAATCCTCCTCTGTCACTGCAGCTCTGGACCCCAGCAGTACACAAAGAGAGGTATTACTCTGGCTTCAGCCGGCTGCTCTGTGGAGAGCGGCTGAAACAGATTGCTGAATCGACTGCAGCACATAATGAAAATGACTCAGATCACATCAGACCAGTGCGATCAAACTGTTTGACCAATCATCTCTTTTCTTCTCCATATTTGAAGTGTAATTTGATGCTAATCACGTGCATACGTTAATTATTCTGTGTGCTTACTCTGAACTTCTCATTAGTTTAAAACTACGCTATCCCCTGGCAGTGAGAGAAGATGCTTACACATTTTAGCATCTGTGAAATAAAACATTTCACAATTTTCAAAGATTGTAATAATTTTGTATTTTAATTATGAAGAAATTACATTTTTTCTGGTCCGTTTTCCCAATAATCCCTCTGTCAGACATCTGTGTTGCTCAAAGGCCCAGCTGTACATTCGTGCAGCAGTTAGTGGGTAGGTTCACTGTAGGGCCTGGTGTATGGATCAGACATAATGACTGAGTGGAGGATAGCAGAGTCGTGTGGGTGGGAGGAACCCAGTGGCTGGAAAGCCTCACCAGTTTGGAGCTTCAGATTTTGTTCCTGTTCCATGATGGATGTTTTCCAGTCCCCCAGTTTCACTCTCTATGTCACTGTCAGCTGGTAAAAGGCAGCAGGAATCGGCCTCAAAGAGATGGATGATCTGATTTATTCTGCGCCTCCACACAACAGAAAATTGCTATCATGTTATACTTGTTTTATACAATACAAGAAGTTCACTCAAGCTTGTTAAATAGGTTTTATATGGATGCTGACTAGAATATTCAAACTTTAGACATGTCTAAGGAATTATACCAGATTAATAAATCTGTAATAAATAAATAAATCTGAAGCAGATAATGTGACCAACCCGCAGTGCAAACTCTACCTACTGCTATGGTTGGTCTAGGTTTCTGGGCTAGGTGGAAGACTGTCCACAAGCCGCACGGACCCCAAGAATGCATCTGTATCGCGCTCAGTATAAAAGTGGCATAATTCCTGGAATTTCATTCTTATGGACACAATAAAATTCATGACCATAACAGTTTAGTTCATTCATTTCTAAAGAAACTGTCTCATCAACAAAAAAATAATATATAGTTAGAAGAAAAAGCTGGAGGGCCTAAGCCTTCCGGGGAGCCAGCTCCCCGCTGAAACCAATATGCACCCTCATTCCCAAAACCTATCCGGAGCATGGAGACCCCAGTCCATCTAGCCCTAGCCCAAAACAGCAGCATCACAGAACCCCACAGAGACTGAGGCCACCCACTCAGCCCCACCCCAGCAGAATATCTAACGCCCACCCCCACATTTGACCAACCTCCAGACTACGTAAGACATAAGGCACCCATGTCAAGCTGGATCCTCCCTCTCTCGGACATCCCCCTCCTCCATGATGGAATATAAGTGCATCTGCCAGAAGGTACCAAGGTCTACCCAAGGCCCGGAGGGTCCTCACCCAGACTCACCAGAGGCGCCAGACCTTTCCACCCAGCCCCAGCACTTTGGGCTCTAACGGCCCCCAATTGCTGAAGTTTAGCAGCAAAATTAATGTCCCAAATATCAACAATTGTTTATGTTCTATGAATACAACTAAAACTACAATCAAAACAGTTTATGGTAAATGGTCTGTATTTGATATAGCATCTTCTAGAGTTCTGGAACCCTCCCCCCAAGGCGCTTTACAACACAATCAGTCATTCACCCAGTCACGCCCTGGTGGCGATGAGCTACACTGTAGCCACAGCTTCCCTGGGGCTCACTGATAGAGGCAAGCCAGCCGTACACAGGGGCCACCAGTCCCTCCGACCAACACCAGCAGGCAAGGTGGGTTAAGTGTCTTGCTCAAGGACACAACGACAGTGACAGACTGAGTGGTCCACGAACCTGCAACCTTCCGATTACGAGGCAAGCACCTCACTCCTGTGCCATCGTTAGATAGAAAACAAAACCATTTTAAATATTAATAAATTAAGATACAGTAATACTTGAACTGGCTCTCACTGTGTCTGCTGGAAACATCTCTGACCCTTGAACACATTTATTTGAGGACCTCTGCCCTAAAGGGTCCATCATGACACAGGTCTCATAGGAAGGGTGTGAGTAGGACAATAATGAACACCTTGATGAAAGAAGATCACATTAAATCAGGATACCTTGCTTATGGAAGTTTCCTGAAGCCAGACCTCCACTGGGCTTGATTACCTGGTGGTTGAGCCACAGGGGTTCAGCCTGAAAGATGGGAAGTCGTCTCATCATGGCTCCAAGCAACAGGTTGGCTGCTTAGAAACCAGGCAGCAGTTGTGGGATGGGTGCTCTGATTCCCTGAGTCAAACTAAGAAAACCTCAGGTTTTGAATTAATTTGGAGTTCTGAGAGCTTAAACAGGCCTCCAAACAGCCAAAGAGAGAGATGCAATTCAACAAGAAATCAAAGCTTATGGTATGTTTGTAGCATGTTTATGACCCGTTTAGCCTCCACCAGTTGTAACTGATGTAAGCTGTGAAAACAGTTTGAGCACCTACACATCCACACAGACATATGAGGCATGTAATCAGGCAAAAGTATCATCAAGAGTCTCTGCTTAATAGCAAAAAAAAAAAAAAAAAAGAAAAAAAAAGGTTCCCCTGAGGAGAGGAGGAAGGGGTTTTTCACCAGGAAAGCCGTCATCTAAAAAATAAATAAAAAACTAGAGCAACTCTGCTGAAAACAGCTGAGCTTGTGTAAGCAGCTGAGGATGGAGATGGAGCACCCTCTTCTGGTCCGACTGCCCATCCACGTCCACCTGTGGAGCCGTGAGGGATCAAACCAACGTGGAAACGTAGAACTGCAGCAACAAAAGAAGACATCAGAGTCCATTTTCAGAAAGCATTTTTAAATTAATTTTATTATTTTATAGCTAATTTACAACAAGCGCTTCACTGAACTGGAACATTTTATTTTGCTTCATATTGTCATTATTTATTGAATATATTTTTCTGCATCAGTTGACTTTGTCATTAACTTTGTATTCAGTCTTTTCTGTAAAAATTCATATACTTTATAAGGAATATCACACTATGATACGGATGGCTGAGAGAGATATTAAGAAATACACCGAACCCTCAAAGAAAGAAACTGAAAACATATTATTCCATTCATGAGCACATTCTCTGGGACTCCATTGGTGTGTAGATGTAAACGCATGTGTGCACATGCTATTTTGTTTGTGCATGTGTGTGTGCGTGAGTGTGTTGCCCACCCAGAGTGTACATGTAATTTAAACTGGGCTGTAGCTCTTAATGGCTTCTTCTATTTGCTTGAATTTAGCATTTTGACCCTAAATCCACATGGAAACCCAACTTTGTATTTACATCGTCTGCAGGCCGAGACCCAAAAGCTTTCTCGATGTGGGGGAAAAAAAAAATAAATCCAACTCGGGGTGGACAAGTGACAATTTAAAATAAATAAACCAGAAAACAAAAAAATATAGATTTTTGTCACATGTTTGGCTTCCACGTTATGCTGAGAGGATCAAATAAAGAAAATCAGTAAATATGGATGGTGATTGCCATCAAAACCTTCACTCTTATAATTCAGAACACAGAAGTTAATACAAATGCATGCTCCTAATCGGTCTTCACCCGCCCCCTTCCTGCTCATATTAGCATTTAATGCCACCAGTGCAAACTTTTTAGATACCCCTTTTTAAAAATCTTACACATAAATCCATCTTCATTGCATAACATCATAGCAGTATTGCACTACATCTTCATATGTGTGTGTGTCTCTCTCCCTCTCTCTCACACACACACACACACACACACACACACACACACACACACACACACACACACACACACACACACACACACACACACACACACACACACACACACACACACACACACACACACACACACACACACACACACACACACACACATTTTATACATCATAGCCATAAGCTGTAAGAAAGGATGTATTTTCACTTATAGCATCATCTATAATTTATATACGACACACACTTTCTCACCACTCGCACAGGCAGCAAACAAGCGCGCGCACACACACACACACACACACACACACACACACACACACACACACACACACACACACACACACACACACACACACACACACACACACACACACACACACACACACACACACACACACAGTCACACAGAGACACACAGCTGCATTGCACATGTATTTTTTTTTCAAACAAGAACATGTCATAGATGTCAGTTCAAAGCTTGAGTCTGAGGTCTTCTCTAAATCATCTCAAATGTGTTTTTTCCTTTCTGTTCAGCATTTATTGTGTTTTACAACAATAAAATGTGTCTATGAGGAAATCCAACAACCAAAACAGCAATTTCACCCAAAGAAATCAACAGAAAACTGCTCGGAAATGTTGATTTGTACAGACTTATTCCTGTTAGAAATTGTCATAAAAAAGATAAATATTTATATATATATTCATATATATAGGCCATGGATTTTTTTGGATATTTTTTCTTTCTTTAAACATGATTTAGCTTTAATTTGTGTGGACTTGAGAGGGAGAAAGATGCAGGGAAAAGTGGAAGAGAGAGAATACAAGAAGACCTATTCCCTCCACGCGAAAGGAGTCGCCACAGTCGTCTGCAGACGCACACACACACACACACACATGTACAAACACACGCACACAAATGCAATGGCTTTTTCTGTGGCCACTGCAAACAGCATGTACGTCTGTGGTTGAGGGGGATCTTTTTGGAAGAGTGACCGGCGGTGAAGTTAAGCTGTTTGTGCCTAAAGAGATAACATTCATCCTGGATTCTGACAAGCGGGTCAGAACAGCCGGTCTCCCCCTGCTCTTACTGCAAGAGGGGTGTGTGTGCGTGTTGCTGGACGAGTGTGAGACTGTGTTTGTGTGTGAGCATGTGCGCGTAAGAGGCTAAACTGTAAATCAGAGCATCGATTTGGCTCGGGGCCAGCCTCTTCTACCTTGACGAGACATGCTAAAACCCTTCACGTCTGCCTTTCTTCATCGCTCTCGTCTCCTTTGTTGTTGAGGAAGCATGCACAAATTCATCATATTGACTTTTAAACATAATTATTTGAACTGCCTTAAAATAATCCATTCAATTATTTAAGAAGTGAGTCCTGGATTTTGAGGCACTTCTCCTCAGGAACCAAAGCTCAAAAAGGGTGAAAAGGGAATCCTGCTTTGCTCCCAATCTGCCAACATTCCTGCTCTGAAACCAGCTAACCCTAACCCTGCTCTGAAACCAGCTAACCCTAACCCTGCTCTGAAACCAGCTAACCCTAACCCTGCTCTGAAACCAGGCAGAACAAACAGGAAGTGGAAGACAGAGAGCCAAGGGGATCTTGCAGGAGGATTGTTGCATGGTGGTCTGTAAAGGTGATCTCCGACCTTCCTGTGTTGACCTCTCCTCTAACATCTGGAATCCAAACAGAGACTGATTAAAGATCTACATGAAGGACCGAAGTTCACACCTGGCTTGAAAATTCAACTCAAATCGAACTGTTTTCCAATGAATTTACTTGATATCAGGAGGGGAAACGCATCTGATTGTGTATTTGGGTTTAGATGCATGTATGTGCACGTTATATAAGCATCACTAAAGGGTGCAGTCACAGCCAAAACACACTTTAATGCTGATCGTGAACTGGGCCTCAAGTATTGAACCCTACTTCATTAAAAGTGGAATACAGATAAATATTTTCTCTCTGTCTCTTTCAGTTTAATTACACATCAGTGTGTTTACACGAGTCATAAAGTCTCTGTTTCCTTCATTTATTGTTTTTGGTATCCTTCTTTGTCTCACTGGGTCACTTCCTGTTTTTGTCTCTGTGTCATTTGCAGCCTAAGCGCCGACTTCGCTGGAGGACTTCGCAGGCGGGCGAGGCTGGCTCGGCCTTGAGGGTGGAGGGGGGAGGAGAGGAGAGTGAGGGGAGGTCGGCCGGGTGCAGCATCACAGCCTCTCCCGGGTGGGGATCCAGATGTAAGGCCCCGATTGCTCCTCAATCACTGTCTTTACTTTATGATAAACTTCCTCAAAGCTGTCCCCGTCCACGACAGCTGCAGCAGGAAATGAGAAAAGAGAAGAAAATCATCAAAGAGCGAGCAGCGACAGAAGGAAGGAGGCAGAAAAATGATAAGATTAAAGGATGCCTTTGGTAGACAACTTAGGGAGCAACTTTTTAGAAAAATGATTCAAAAAAATCTTTTTACAAATGTTTCCACACATTTTGAAACTTGTTTACTTTTTCAGTGTCTGATACAATGTCACGTACCACAGCAATCTGGCATGTGGTAGAAACCGCAGACAGCACTGGATCTGTCAGAGATCTGCTGCTGGGATGTGCCCTAAATGCATCTCTAAAATATTAAAAATCTCTGAGTTATCCCAGAAGACTCTGGTGGGACTCAAAGCGTTCATCTCATTCAGGGTGGAGGAAGTCATGAATCAGTGGATGAATGAAGCTTGAAGCGTACCTAACAGAAGCGCCGTGAGTGCTAAACGTCTGAGTGCTTACGGTGATTTAAAACAGCAGCTCTGATGTGCATTAGCCAAAGTTTACGTAACCAAAACAGCTTTTGTCTTCCTGTAGAAACGTCTGACCTGAGAGAACACATGAACTCCAAGATCTGGGAGACATTTTGTATAAATTAGTTTTAAATCTGACCAAAACAGCTATTATGATCTTAAACTCTATGAAAGATCATGGGTGACGTGCACATTTACAGAATGTTCTTGCCTAACTTGAATGGTCCACATGAATGCTCTCAGGAAGACGTTTTAAAGTTCTGTGCTTTTTGCATGTTTTTGTTCGTAAATATCCCATGCCTTGGGATTAAAATCTATTAAAGCAACAATTGATAGTGTTTAACACTTTAAACACTTTTGTTTTCAAACTGGTTTCAGTGGTTTTGAGCGAGAACATTCACCAGCTTCACATTGGACAGCACTCTGTCGCCTTCTGCTGACCGGAATCTGCACTTAACAGTTTTGTGGTTGGACAGGAACACTAGTGGGGGGAGGGGGGGGCTGTCTCTGCTTGCATTAAGCTTGGTTTATGCTTGACGCATTTACTTTCCGCTTGGTGATGCGGCTCGTGGCTGGAACGCGCTTTACAACTCGCAGCGTTTATGGTTCATGCGGCTCATCTCTGCGGTGAGCCAATATTCTCCCAGACTGAATGGGGCAGCATGGAGCTCTATGGCATGCATCCAACACTACACCATTGTAGAAGTAAAAATTACTGTTTACAACATGGCATTCCAGCATTTTTTAACAGCGTCCTCGTCTTTTCCGACAGTGCGAGCTATTTCTCTCCAAGAATTATTAACAACATGTTGATCACGGTGATCTCTGAGAGCTGAATCATACAAATGTCTGTATTTACGAACCTCTGCCAGTCCGCCATGTTTTTCCGCGTCCGACCGTCCGCGTGGTTAGAAAATTTCCTAGGTGCGCGTTGCGGAAATTTTGGGCCGCGCGGAGCCGTGCGGACCTCGCAGATGCGTCAAGCATAAACCAACCTTTACGGCAATAGCTGTTTACTGTGCTGGTAGCTAGTTTAAAGGCTACCAGTTTGCTTTTGAGAGGGGAAGCAAGGAACTAAACCAGAGTGAACATTGGAAACATAAGAAATCACAGACTGATGGTGACCTAGCTTCTTTGTAAGTAATGATATTTGCTTTGTCAAGCAGTGTAGATCTTTTTCTTTTAAGGCTTATTTAATATCTGTTAGCATTAGCTTGTTGATCCAACCAGTAAAGGGCGAACTGGAAAACTTATCAAGTTCAACTTTAAACTGTAAAAGTTTGCTAATCTGTAAAAATATGCTGGAAGGATCAGGATTTCTATTAGTAGAAGTTTGTTTTTATACAAATTTTTAACAAAACAGAAGAAAAATGAACAAAACAGTGAATCTATTTTTTATTTTATTTTATTTTTACCAAATCACATCTGGTGTAATCTACCTCCCACTTGTCTTTAGCTTCAGGGCTATTTGGATCTTTAACACTTGAGTGTAAATGTTATGTTCTACGAAATTAAATACAAAAGCCAAATGGGTAAAATAGTCACATCTTTGTGATAACAGCATTCCCACCTGAGAAACACTCTAGGAAGTCTTGCTCTAGTTTGAGGGCTCTGTCCATCGCTTTCCTGGCCTGCTCCTCTGTCAGACGAGTGTTGATTTCTCTGTTAGCACACACACACGCACGCACACACACACACACACGCACACACACAGTTGTTGCCATAGCACGTTTTTGCTGATGCTGCATTTGAGGAGTTGTGAATACATACAGAACATTCTCCAGCGACTTGGGCCGAACAAAGATGGCGATAGGGTGAAGTTGAGCTGCCTGTAGTCTACGGACAGCGTTAGCAGACACATCCAGGATGCAGTGCTTCCCCTGCTGCTTGTGCACACACACACACACACACACACACACACACACACACACACACACACACACACACACACACACACACACACACACACACACACACACACACACACACACACACACACACACACACACACACACACACACACACACACACACACACACACACACACACACACACACACACACACACACACACACACACACACACACACACACACGGTCGTGAGGATTTTTTAGGGGAAAATTGATCATTGGTGTCATAACAAATGAAAGCGCTGTTGGAGGCTAGAGCTGATGTGCTGAATTTTGATATTCAGGTTTAAATAACATCCTTGAGTCTGATCAAATGTGAGTGAAGAAGGTGTTTTTCTATTTCATAACTTCATATATGAATAAAATGTAATAATAATCATTATGTCAGAATGGGTGATTCATGCCTTCATTACATCCCGGCTAGATTACTCCAACTCCTGCTTGTAAGGCATCAGTAAAGCTGCTCGTCCAGACGTCAGCAACAAGGTTTCTGACTGGAGCTGACAGAAGACGGCACATTACACCCAAACCTAAATCACTCCATTGGCTGCCTGTTCAGTTCAGGATCAATTTCAAAATTTTGCTTCTTGTAATTAAATCATTGAACAGTCAGACCGCTCCCTATTTAAGCGAACTCCTCCATTTCTACCACCCTCCTCGTGCTCTGCAGATCAGCTCCTCCTCACTGTGGCACGCTTGAAGACCTGTGGGGAAAGGGCTTTTTCCATCTGTGCCCCAAAACTGTGGAACGCACCTCCTCTCCAGGTCAGACAAGTGCCCTCTATTTTATGGGCGACGGTGGCACAGGAGTTAAGTGCTTGCCGTAATCAGAAGGTTGCAGGTTCGAGCCCCGCTCAGTCTTTTGCTGTCGTTGTGTCCTTGGGCAAGGCACCTGACCCACCTTGCCTGCTGGTTGGAGGGACAGTTGGCGTCTGTGTACGGCAGACTTGCCTCTGTCAGTGTGCCTCAGGGCAGCTGTGGCTACAATGTAGCTCATCACCACCAGCGTGTTAATGTGTGTGTAAATGGGTGAATGACTGCTTGTGTTGTAAAGAGCCTTGGGGGGTTCCCAGGACTCATTTCCATTTTTAAATCACACCTGAAAACACACTACTTCTCCCTGGCCTTCAACTCCTAAACCATAAAGCAACCATCATACTTCAATATTAAATCCGTGAATTAGCATTTTGTGGTTTAACTTTGTTTTAGTGGTTTGATTCCATTCCCCTTTTTTGCTTGTGTTGTTTTACCATGTGCAGCGCTTTGGTCGGTTGTAAAGCCGCGTTAAAAGCACTCTAGAAATCAAGCGGTACGTATTATTTTCCTTTTCATCATCATTCCTACGTACTTGCTCGGCCACCTCACGGACACTTTGCACACTCGTCCCGTACAAGTGGCTGTTGTACTGTCCTGCCTCGATGAACCGATGGCTCTGGATGTCCTTCTCCATCTGTTCCCGGGATGACACAAAGTGATAGTCTCTCCCGTCCACCTCGTACTCCCTCTTGGGCCGCGTGGTGTCTGTCGGGAGCAGAAGGGAACAATAAAAAGAATGCATATGCTCATTTTCAAATGAAAACTAGAAATGCTGCAGGTGGTGCCCCCCCAGCAAAATATAAATATAATAATAATAAAAAATAATTAAATACTGTGCAGATCAGTCTTTATGCGCGACCGTGTGATTACTCACGAGGGACACAAGATCCAAACTTATCAGGGAACTCGGACAACAGGTCATCATTTATCCTGTCCTTCACCGGACCCAGGATGATGATGGGCCTTGCGTAATGCACTTGTCATGAGGAGAGAGGAAGGAGAAAGAGAGTGGGATCAGTCGAATAAGGGAAATCAAAACAAAAATGAAATGTCATATTAAAGCCATCAGCCGCCGCTCCTGCAGGGTCTTACCTTCCACTTGAGTAACTGTCTCATAACTGTGGGGGGTTTTATCTCTCCCTGGTGACAGAACAGAGGCAGTCAGCATCACATCGTTTTTTTATTAGAAATGAGATTCAGCTTGGCGTCACGCCCGTGTGCATCACTCATATGCCCTGAATAGCTGCTAGCTTATATGTTGGAGGCATTCTTTGTGCATGTGAATGCAAATTGTGGTCCTGGATTGCTGTTGATTATTTCACTCCTTTAAGGAACACAAATAGTCAAAATGTTCCATCCATCTCGAAGCATCACAGCTGCAGCAGGCAAAACAGGAAGCTGGCCGAAACAGATGCTGACCGTATAAATGTGAGAATGGATAAGCATCATTTACGCATCAGCAGAATGTGACGGTTAGTTAGGTTTGTGTATTTTAATGTTAAATGAGTCTGCTGAATGTGCGCTGCCTCTGAGAAACGTGAGACAGATGTGACTTTGCACTAAAAGATTTACAAACAGATAAATGATCCCAAACTGAACCGATTTATTGCAGAGGCTCATTTTCTGTCATCCTGGCTTTTAAATGGTTTTAAAAATGTGTTGAATGGTTCAACTTGGCTGTTAAAACAGTTGAAAGGATGAATGCAGACGCAAACATGAAAACCAAAAAGTTTAGTGAGCATCCAAATGAGTCACAGGAAATGGAAAAGAGCTATTTTATAAATCAGTCATTTTATTAAAGGAAAGAAAATGGTTCTAAAACTGTAAAAGCCAACAGGAACGAGCTTTGGGTGAATCATTTTGTTTTAGGCTAAATAAGACATAGCTGGGAAAATGAAACTGGTCAGATGTTCACACACTAAGAACAAAAAAAAAAAGAAGCTTGTTGTCTGAGAAACAAAATATTTAAAAAGATCAGTCTGGAAGTAGCATTATTACATGGATGCTGAACATTAATCTGCTTATTATTTGTGGAGTTAAAGCTGAAATCACCTCACTAAAAACACTAATCCTGCTTATGGGCCTCTGATGTGTAACAAAATCAGCTAATTTAAAGAAAACTTCTTTTTACACAGATTTTCTTTAATATAACATTTATCTTAGATAATGGTAGCATTTTAAAAATTACCTTGGATGCTGAAAACAAAAAAAGTGCTGATTTAAACAGACAATATGTATTTTTACCATTAATCTCTGGAAATATCCATCAAAATGTTGTTGAAAATGAATAAAATGATGTCCAGTTGTTGAATATTGGCGGCTTCTTATCATAATTGAAACCATAAAATCAAGTACTTATCGTGGGTCTAGCGACTTTGGGGACGCCATATTAGACGTGTTTTCTTCTGGCCTGCTCGGGGTTCTTCGCCTGTCGAGGTGCCTGTCTAGTAAACACTAGATTGGCTGGACGTATGACTTATGGAAGTTACGATACCAAGTTCACAAACATTTAGGCAGTAAGAAACACAAAGTTAAAGAGCAAACTGCAGGTTAGAAACTACCATGAACCAATGTTTAGAGAAACATAATAGAAACTGGTTTAAAACATTTTTTACACATGCATAAATTATTTAGGCTTTTAGAGTCATTTCTGTGAGAAAGTTTTTTTTTATTTTGGCCAAACCAAGTGACGTCAGCTGAGGGAGTCCTGAGAAAAATATGGACTCTAATGCGGCTCTGACAGACGAAACTTTAAATGTTTATAATTCTACTTCTGATGGACCAGACCCATGAAGTTATGAGTTTGCTGCACGTCCCAGAGGGCAGAGACAAACCAGAGGGAGAGACCATCAGTCAAAGCAGAGAGATTGGGGAGAAGTAGCTGGGGAGCAGCAGGTGAGTTAACGATGTTAGCTTAAACTCATGTGCTAACATCACAATATTGTACAGATTACTATCATGTATCAGACAATTACAATAGTATTGGTCAATTAATGCAATATTAATACTTGACAATAATAAACTAATGAGCGTCTGTCAGCTGTCTCATACTCGGTAACATCCGTTCACGTAACGTAGTTTAGTGCTTAGAGAGGGAGAGACACGTCTGTCATCCAGTTCTGGAGCTCAGGTGGGCTTCTGTGAGCTGGATCTGACCCAGACACCAGCGAGCCGGTCCAGCTGGTATTTTTAAAAGCTGTGCATCCTCTCCTGGAGGTCCAGGCGGCTGTTCTGATCCGGTTCCGACCCAGAAACAAGCTGACCCGCTGAGCCGAGTGTCTCTTCTGGTGGTCGGTTCTGACCTGGTTCTGATGGGGATATGAGCTCCAGAAAGCCACATTTAATTTTTTAACCCCACCACGGGTCTCTAGAGCCCAGCGTGGACCTCCCTGTCCCGGTACCGACCGATGTGGGCTACAGAAGTCCGTCTTTTCAGCTGCAGAAACGCCCTCAGGCACAGAGATAGAGGCGTTGTTTCTCTTATCTGGAAACCCGTGGACTCGATGTCCAGACAGGCTGGAGCTGGTACAGCCTTCACAGACTCTAGTTTATCTAAATGAACACAATCCAAAACTCGTAAACACACACTGACTGGATAACATGACCTCTCTAAACTAAAACCAGCCACTCTCCACATTGAGCTGAGGCAGCGCCTAGCTTCTAACTCCCTTTGGTTACGTCAGAGATTTAGAAAAAAGAGCTTTTTTAGAAGCTTTGCTGAGAAAGGCCACTTTTTACTAGAAAACTCTGCTGTTGTGTATTTTACAACAAAATATCCACAATAAGCATTTCAAATAGTATTTTTGGGCAGCATTTTATATGAATAAGAAAAAAAATAACCTGCAATTTTCTCTTTAATAACAAAACTGCTAAACTCTGTCCAAAACCGATGTGACAAAACAGAACTGAAAAAGAGTGGTATTGCTTTAGTATGATGACATCACCAGCAGGCGCAGAACCTCGAGCAGATCTGTGAAGTACAATGCCAGAAAAACTACAAACACTGCATTCTCGACGGAAAGAACTGAAGGACCATCAAAGTCTGAGCAGCCGTGCAGAGGTTGCATGCTTTCTGCTCCACAGGTAACAACATTACTTTACATTTACTTTAAACTAGCAACAGTCACGGGGATATGGTGTAAAACTACCCTGAAATGTATGTCCTGCCCCCTAGTGGCAGAAAAATACACACTGTCACTTTAAAACTTGACTATTTTTTCTCCCGTTATGCTTTCTGTCTTTATTATTCTAAAACGTTTCATTTCCTGAATGTCTGCATGATTTGTGAAATTGCCTTTGATTGTGTTGTATTTTCCACCTCTGAATCACTGCAGTAATCAGCCTAAATCAGGGAAAATCAGCCAGCCTTTAGTGATGTTATACGTCTGTGTTTATACTAATTACCTTGAGTGCCCACGTTGTCTCGCCCGTGGTCCTGTAAACAGAAACCAAACTCAGATTAACTCTCAGACGTTTGAGAAGCGACCTTATTCAGAGTGCACGGGTGAGTAAACAAACCCTCTCTTTGGTGTTAACCCGAGACCACTCTTTCCTTTCCACCCTGTAGAAAGATGAAGCATTTTATTGACTAAGTCTCTAAAACAGCTGCTGAAACACACACACACACACACACACACACACACACACACACACACACACACACACACACACACACACACACACACACACACACACACACACACACACACACACACACACACACACACACACACACACACACACACACACACACACACACACACACACACACACACACACACACACACACACACACACACACACACACACACACACACACACACACACACACACACACACACACACACACACACACACACACACACACACACACACACACACACACACACACACACACACACACACACACACACACACACACACACACCAGGTCCAACCTGTGCTTGCTGGGGATGAAGCCGACCTCCTCTGCCTCGTTCTGCGGGCTGACCTTACGGGCCTGCCACCACTCTTCATCTCCACAGTCCAACACGTGGAGAACGTCCCCGAACCGGAAGCCCAGAGCTTGACTGAGGAAGCCGCAGTCTGCAGTCTTATCATAGTCAAACAGAGCCCTGAGGGAAGGGAAAGGAAAGCATTTAGTGATGATCTTTTCAACCTCTCCTGAGATTTCTGAGACAAATGCAGCTTAAAGTGTCACTGATGCTAAATTTAAAGGTATGATCTTAAAATCAGAAACAGAGATGAGAACTTCCTGACATCTAGGTGTTAATGATAAAGCCTCTCAACATTTCAGGGACATGTTTTCTCATATTTATGACGGCGTCGTTTCAGAGTTTTTTCCGTCACTTGCAGGGAGAAGCTATTATCAGAACCATGTTCTCTCTTCTATCTCCTGATTTATGCAGGTCTTTTTACTCTGTGTCAGTCATTAACGAAGACCCAACCCATCAAAAATAGCCAGAAAATTCAGATATTTTGGAACTGTAATGATTATGAACCCTTAAAACAAAACCCACATTTCCCCCTATAGCGTATTGTTTATGGGTTTATTTTTTTGTATGACATTTGAAATTTTTGGCTACTTTTTGTTTACAACAATGTTCATTTTTGAGGGGAAAAAAAGTTTTGTCAATAACATGTTGAAATTATAGAACATGTTTTTTAAGTTTTTCCTCTTTTATTGTTTTTCACACTTTTTACAACCTTTTTCAATCTGCTACCTCACAGCTGGACTTGAATTGCACCACAAAAGAGAAATAAAGTAAATGATTTCATGTAATTCCTCAATAATAAATATTCATACACTGCTTTTATTTATCGATTCAATATCTGAACATGAAATATTGCAATAATTCAGTGTTGTTATTTTCATACATCCCTACTTTTATTCATGCAATATTGGTAAATATCAGTTATCGGATATAACTACAAAATTAGTATCGGATATTGGTAGGCCTACATTTTCACATCTTTACATTCCTGCTTTCTTCTTCCTCATCGGTGCTATCTGAACTTTCATGCAAGTCCTGAGGAGTCCATTCTTCTTCCTCATCTTCTGCCAACTAATTAACATCCAATATCATGTTGATATTTTCAAAGTACTTTCTCTTTCTCATCTTTTTCTTCTAGTCTTTTCATACATCTTAAACTGGATACACGTGTAAATATAGCATAGACATACTTTCAAAGGAAGTTTTATTGTGAAAATACTCAAAATGTATTTGTAGATGGTATTTCAGTGATCGGTTAGAATAATTAAGTCATAATAGTCAAAATAGTATGTATTTGTATTTTATTAAGTATTCTGTAGATAAAATTACAAAAACGTCATTTTATACCTGCAGTATTAAATTTGATAGACATTTTAATATGGTTTGATTGTAATAAAGAATGAGCTACTTAATAAAAATGCACTATTTCAATAGAAAACCCATCTTTGTTAAGAAATTACTTAACTTTTCATGTTATTCTTACCATAACTTCTCAAACATTAGGAATGATTTACCTGAAAAAGGCGAGTGGATCACTTACTGGGTGCAGCCATGTTGGGAATGATCAAAACTAAACTTGAGCTGCCTGTAGAGGCATCATAATCCAGTAGGGAGCAGAATACATGCATCAGATTACATACAACAGGTTTTTAGGGCAAATATTGATCATGTTGATGAGATAGCGGTCTCAGAAAGCCATGAAGCAAACATGACACAAATGGTATTAAAGGGTTAAAACATCCAGATGGCCTATCAGGATTAGTACCTTCAGCAGAAACCTGCCATAACATGTCTACTGCTCCCTGGTGGAGGATCTAAAGGTGGAAAGGGTCAATTTTACTTCCTAATAAGTTATGTTTACCTGATAAAATAATTGTAATTATTAAATTGTTATTTTAACATTAGATAAAAAATATTTTAATCTAAAATTTAGATTTCTTTAAAATGATGTCATAGTGTAGGTTTCAAGGGTCCATTTGCTGGTTACAGAATATTTTATATCACAATATCCCATTTTTATCTCTCAAGATATTTTCATTCATACGGATCATGAACGATATGATATCACACAGCTCTACTTAAATTCTTTAAGTAAAACAAGCTGGACATCAGGCATAAATTTAACCCATCTGTGTTAATGCAGACACACATTAAATATATATTTATTTTACTTCTTACAGTCTGCAGGAAATGATCACACTTTTATTTTGACGTCTTAAATGGGTTTAGGTCAGGCGTGTGAATGACTCAGTGAAAACGTTAACAGCTATAATAAAAGCATGCTTTAATCATCCATCCATCCATCCATCCATCCATCCATCCATCCATCCATCCATTGTCTTTCCCGCTTGTCCACGCAGGGGGCTGGTGCCTGTCAATCTCTGGGAAAACAGGCGGGGTACACCCTGGACAGCTTTTGCATATTCCGTCTGTGTGTTTCGTCTGATTGCATTTTTAGGTTGTTTGCATTTTTAGGTTGTTTAACACAGGAAACGTTTTTTTTTTTACCTTGCTGACAGTTTTGACCACTGCTGTGGTCTTCCTCAGATATGGTGGTGTCACATCCTTTTCTGTTTATCTGAGGGCTGCGCTCTTGGCTGTGATCCAATGTGTAGACCCCATCTTCTCTGTTTATGGTTTCATGCCCACGTCTCCTTATTTCTAAGGCTTCTTTAATCCATCTTTTGTATTTCTGTTGTTCTGTGTTTAGGATCTTTGTTCTGTTCCAGTCCATTTTATAGTTTTCTCTTGTGCAGTGGTCTGTTACGGCAGATTTATTTATTGTACTTTCTGCTTCTTGTTTTGCTGCTCGTGTGTCTTCGGCTTGTTTCCTTCTCACACTCTTTTCTATGTTCTATTGTTGGTGTGTTGAGTTGGCGTCTGGTTTCTCCTATGTATGATTTATTGCAGAGTTTGCATGGGATTTCGTATATGACTCCACACTTACGTCCTGCTGATATCTCAGCCATAGCAATAAGGAGACGTGGACAAGGAACCATGAACAGAGACGATGGGGTTTACACATTGGATCACGCATGTCATCGCTGAGGAGAGCGGCCATAGTGGCTAGCTCTGATGAAGACTGCAGGAGTGGTCGAAACTGTCAGCAAGGTAAAAAAAAAAATTCCTGTGTTTAAAAAAGAACCTAAAAATGCACCCTGCACAGGTTGCCAGTCCAATCGCAGGGCAACACAGAGACACAGGACAAACAATCAAGCACACACACACACATTCACACCTAAGGATCATTTTAGAGAAACCAGTCATGTTTTTGGACTGTGGGAGGAAACCGGAGTACCCGGAGAGACCCCACGTGTGCACAGGGAGAACATCAAATCAATCAAATCAAAGATACTTTATTCATCCCAGAGGGAAATTAGAGTTTCAGTACACACAATTCAGAGATCAGACATACATGGGCAAGACACATGACAAGAATTGGTGACTGTGGTCATTCGCAACCATGAGTCGCGACACCTTAATAGAGATAAGAGGGGTTACATGAGGATTGGTTCAGGTGGAGGGAAAAAAAGGCACTTCAGAGTTACCCTCCCACCAGGAGGGCAGCTTTGCTCTGCGAAAAATCACCTCAAACATATATGCAACAGACTTCAGACAACACACGTGTCCACTAGGTGGGGTGGTGGGTTGGGACTATCCCTACTTCAGTTCCTGCAGCCACAAAAGAAGCAGCGCATGTCACCTCAGTGTGGATAGGGGGAGGAGCATTGAGGGTTGGAGGGTTGCAGTGACCCTGGAACGTTTCAGCGGCCTTCCCGCAGTCCCGCCCAGGCTGGGATAGAAGACAGAATTGAGTTGCCATAGCGACAGCACATTCCACATATCTTCATGCAGAAAGACCAGGGACCTTCATGCTGCAAGGCAACAGCGCTAACCGCTGTGCTGCTGGGCAGCATGGTTTAATCAGTTTGACAATAAAATCTAAATATTCAGCCAGCAGCTAAACTTATAGCTAAATAGATGAAAGGAAAGGTTTCATGTTGACTTAAAATGAAGTGTTTCAGTCATTTTTGACAAAGATTTCCTTTGTTTACTACAAATAATAAATATGTATGTAAATGAATATTTTGGTCCTTTGATCTACGTTTGTTTAATTATGCACTCCTGCATGATTTATTTTAGATGTTGCATCAAATCTTTGTGGTACCTGATGTAGAAGCCTCTCTTTGGGTTACTTCTTAGTGTTGTAGTCCCAGAACCCATGCTGCTGTTCATCAGCTGCTCCCTCAGATCATGAATTTTGGCCTCAAAACGGCTATACTCTGGAAGAAATAAAAACATTGTATTTATAATAATAAACCATTATCAATGACAATGAGTGACATGACAGCTGTTTTAACACCCTAGAAGGTAATGAGATATTCAGAGAAGCTGAAGTATTGTGCACACACTCTAAATGTAGGAAAAGCAGAGAGTGAGGGACGCTAAGTAAACACTGAGTGAACCTTCCAAGTCCCCACTGACCCGATTAGAACATGAGGACATGGTGACCTTGACTCGAGTCAAAAATAGTGAAAACACCTGCAAGCAGCATGCCATCGTTCTTAGCAACAGTTCTGGGGCAAAGGCAGCAGCCACCTGCAGGTTCTGTTCCAGAAAGTTCCTGATGAAGAAGAGAAGGGTGAACTCTGAAAGGTGCAGCCAACAGCCAAACGAGAGGTTTCACCTGGTATAAACCGAAAGAAAGTCTGATTGCATCACATTTTCCATCTAAGATAGGTGAAAGGTCAGCCTTACACATACATGTGCATTAGTCTATGGTAGAACGCTTTGTAAGTCGTACTTTGGGGGAAAAAAGCTCTGGCGAGTCTGTTACAGCACGGAGAATTCAGCTAGAGAAGAAAGTAGCTTCAGACGGCAGGATTTGAAGTCTTATTTCCTGATATCTGGACAGCTTGCTTCTGATTGGTTAACAGCAATGAGAGTCTACCACTGATTCAGTTTGCTTTACAACGTTGATGTTTTATCTCCACAAATAACAAAAGTCTGAAGGAGTTCTGCTGTGTGGTGGAGGAGCTAATGCTAACGTTAGCTTCTAATAGCCAAGATGCTCTCTGCTGTTTCCTGGACGCTAAACCAACAACAGCCTTCCCCATCGTGAGTCAAGATGGGTGACTCCCTGAATGATAAGTGACAATGTGACGTAGATCTGTCAGGATTTTATAATTTAGAGATTCACCATTTATTTTCATGTTCAGCCTGCATGAAAAACTCAGAGTGACACGATTTTAATCAGAAATAATTGTTAAAAATGCTTTTTTAGTGAAGTTGACCTTTAATTTCTCAGAATTTCATGGGATAAGTATAAATGTATCTGTGCTCCTGTTTATTTTTGTGAAAAACTCTCTTGTCTGATGGAATTAACATATTTAAATAAATAAAAAACATTTGCATGAAGCTCATTAACATTTCCCACATTAAGCTCATCTCACAGACATTAAAACTCCCCACTGGGGATAATCAGCTGTCTATAAAAGCCTGAGTGAAAGCTCCTGTTTACCTTCGGGTCGGTACTGAGCGATAATGGTTACGGTCTGGCCGGCGTTCTTCAGCGCCGCAGCAGCCTGCTCGTGTGTGGCCATACGCAGATCCACGCCGTTAACCTAAAATACACACACCCACAGTGAGTGTGTTTACAGCCATTAAAATGCACAAGAGTGTGTGTGAGGAATTCAGCGTTGATGAAAATGTCATTACACTGAGGATCTGATCGCCCTTGTGAAGCTCTCCGCTGAGATCGGCCGGCCCTCCTGCCAGGATGAAGGAGATAAAGATTCCTTCTCCATCCTCTCCGCCAACAATGTTAAAGCCCAGACCCGTGGAGCCTCGATGGATCAGAACTCGCCGGGGCTCCCTGAAACGTTTACCAGCAGAGGCATCAATAAAGCTGAAAACTCAATAAGAAGGCACCACGCAGGAGAATGGTATCACCTGGGGATGTCATCGTCTCCCAGCATGCCGTGCAGAACAGGAGAAAACCGGCTCGGTGAGGTCGGAGTGAGGGCTTGTGGGTAATCAGATCCAAGATAGTTGGAGTGGCTCAGTTCAGTATCCATATGAGAATACGCTGCGGAAAAAGTTGTCACAAATCAGAGCTGTGATGTGGCGATAAACACGATGTCATTTGTCACAGGTGAGTTTAATCAGCAGAGTCTAAATTCTTATCAATTTACACGCTTCTATCCTTAGAATGTGTGAAACTTTTATGACTTTAAGAAGGATTGTGTTGGAAATCTGCATCCTACTAAAATCTGGGGTATAAAAGTGTCACCCAACTGTTGTTTAGCCCCCAAAATTCACAGTTTTAGTAGCTCAGATGATCACGCAAGTGACTAAATACTGCAAAAGTACAAAAGCGCATCAAATTTTCTGTGAGTAAACATTTTATTTATAATATTATATTATTTCTGAGCTAAATAGAAACTCCAGAGCTGAAATGTTGCATCTCATTTGTGTTGTCTGGCAACTCTTATCTTATGGTTTAGAAAATAATGAAACATTGTCTATCTGTAATCAAAGAGAAATGTATTCATCATTTTTATTAAATTAATGGTAAAATGCTTAGACTAAATGATGTGGCATTAATAAATTTTTGAAACGCGATGAGAAAAAGAAGTGCCACTAAAACCAGAGCGCGGATCTTACTGCTGGTGAGGTCTGGTGGGTTGTAGGAGTTGGTCAGAAACAGGTTGTTTGGCTTGGCCACTCTGAGGTACACCACCTCGCCCGTGTTCTTCAGAGCTCCAACTGCATCCTCGTGCATCACGTCCTCCAGACACACGTTGTTCACCTGCATGTTGACGGCAAGCAGGATTGCAAACAACTGCAGCTGTAGCGTAGACGTTCACCAGCAAATCCAAGCAGCTGAAACTTTATTTTACTCTAAATAAACATTAAGGTCAAGTTAGTGCATGCTACAATGAGATATGTATAACAATGTCTGACCTGCCAGTCAACATGTATTTATCCCCTTTAGGAGAACATATGCTAGCACAAAAGCTTTCAGCAGTGAGCCGGTGGCCCCTCCATCTCTCTACTAACCAGACACGCATGCACAGGGAGCAGCAGATACCCAGGTATTAAGACATGATTAATATTAGCTAATCAGAACAATGCAATCAATATTTTATGACAAGTCTCAATGCACAAGAAATGCTGTCGCTGACTCACACACCATTTAGAGGAAACTAAGCTCCATTTTGAAGCTTTAGGTGTGAGTTTCTGTGTTGTCCACCAGACAGCAGCAGAGCTGTTTGAGAAGCATGATGTTGGATGTTTACAGTCATCCATCTGGCACATGCAGCATCATGTTAATGAGCGTAATGTCAGAGAGTAAAGCCTGCAGCTGTAAAGGCTTGGCTTCAGGACAAACGAGCATAATGTGTGTTTTAATGTGTGTGTGTGTTGCTATCTCTGCATCCATGTGCTTATTATTATATCTGCATGACTGACCGCTAAGATCTTGTCCCCGATCTGCAGACGTCCATCTTTGTGAGCCGCCCCGCCTTCGATGATCTTGGTGACGTAGATGCTGTTATCTCCCGGTATGTGCTGGTTTCCCACCCCTCCAGCGATGCTGAAACCCAATCCTGAGAAAAAAAAACCAAAGAGATAAAAGAAACACAGAGTGAGCAAAGAATTGGGGGACGCAGAAGAGATTTGCTAAATCCAGAAGGGCACAGCTTAGTTGGGCACATGGCGCCGCTAAGCCCACACAAAAGCCTCCGTGCTGGTAAACCAGCCCAGTCCTCCATGTACCTTTAGGCCCTTTGATGAGTTTGATTTCGGTGACTTTTTCTGCTGCTGGTTTTCTGCGGAGAACGTAGAGGCGGACAATAGCACCTGCCTCTTTCAGAGCCTCCACAGCCTGGCTGTGTGTCACCTCCCTCACATCGACATCATTCACAAATAGGATGCAGTCGTTCACACTGAGAAACAGAAAGTAGGCGACATGGAGAGAGTCGGTGAGTGGGAAAGTGAGAACAGCATGACTTTGGTGACTATATCAGGATAATTCTCCATTAGAAAATGTCAGAAACTAATTTTTAACATTTAAAGATGGTAGAATTTCTTCCTTGACTTGATCAAACCATAACCCTTATACCCTCCCAGTGCATTTTTTGTGCACATGGAGAAGAAACGTTAAAAAATTCAAGGATTAAATGCGGGTTAGTGTCGACATACGCTCCAGTATGAACCTTGAGAGCCATTTTTGGTGAGGAAAAAGCTTTGGTGCTCCTGTGTCAGGAAGTAGACATTAGTTGGATGAGAGGAGGTGGAAAATGGACATGGAGTCTTACTGATGATCATTCATGATATCCAAGCATCTCGCCTCTGATTGACTAACAGCAATGCAACTCTCCCACTGCCTTCATTCGCTCTTAAATGTTGTTTTATCTCCACAAATAACAGAAGCCTGAAGGAGTTCTGCCATGTTTTGGGGTTGCTAATGCTAACGGTTAGCTTCTACTAGCCAAGATGTGCTCTGCTCTCTCCTGGACACTAAACCAATAATAGCCTTCCAGTTCACGAGCCAAGATGGCAGAATGCTAATTTACAGTGTGATGCAGATCCGTGAGGCCTTTTCTGACCCGAGCATTTCATCGTCCACTTTCATTCAGCGGCTAATACAGGAGAAGTAAGGGACTATGTTCATGCTCCTCATGCACGTGGAGCTGAGAGACCGATCATATTTCTAAAAGAACAAGTGTTATACGTCTCAGAGAGCCTCACTCTGAACCCTCCACAGCATGAATTTTTGTCTTTTGGCTGAAAAAAAAATTGTACACCCCATATTTTTGGAGCTTGGTTGTCTCTGAAAATATAGCCATCAGAAAATTTGCCCCCCCCACCCCCACCCCCCACCCTCCAGAATCAGGTTTTCTGCAGTGGTATATCAGTGGTTTACCAACCCAAAAAATTATATATTTATTAGAAAACAAGTTTATTGGATCTAACCAATAAACACTTCAGTTTCCAAAAAAGCGTCTATGCATCAAACCTTATTATTAACTTATTTTCTTATTTATGTATAAAATATTGAAATTCTGTGTATTTAAATGTGCAAAACAACAGACTGATAGGAGTGAAAACATTTAGCAAATATGCTAAATAAAAAATAAGGCTAAATAAAAGTAAGTTAAAGAAAAAACCTGATTATTGGTAAACTGTTTAAAATATAAGGACTTAACGGTTGAAAATATTCAAAATACTTGCAAGTGTAGCTAAACAATAAGAAAAAAAGTCACAGTTGAGACCGGGAAGCAAACCTGCACAAAACTGCCTACCAGCCCAGTGCCCTGACCACTAGGCTACCAATACGCTAGATGACACCAATCACCAATCACCTAAGCCACACTTCCTGTGCTGGCCAGAGGAAAACGGTTTCAGACCAGAGACTAGCTTCCAGAGAGGAGCAGGGCCTGATGACGGGATTAGTTTAATTGATGCTTTACAGGATTTTCAAAGTAAGAAAGAAATCGGTCTTTTATATAGCGCCTCTCAAGATAAAAATCATGAGGTGCTTCACAAAAATAAATAAAAACAAATAAAAACTAAACAAAAAATTAAATATAAAAAAGATTTCAAAAATGATTAAAATATATTTAAAATTAGAAAAATTTAAAGTAAATATTGTGAATAAAATTATAAGGAAAGGGGAAGAGAAAATGAATGAAATTAATGAATGAAAATGAAAGAGGGAAATCAGTGACCTCAAAATTTGCAGCAGGAACAAGACAATGCATGAATGCTGCCAACATTGTTTTTTTTTCATGGAGGAAGTAACAATATCACTTGGTTAAAAGCTCCAACGTGTGGATTTCCATGATATGGAAAACTCTTAAGGTTTCTTTTCAGCAATATGCAATAACCTTCAGTAACCACCAGGGGGCCACAGATCTAGTAAACGTGCAGAAAACCCTCCTGGTGTTGGCGGTTTCTGAAAACAATGAGCAATGACGATTATTGCTGGCATTCAAATTAAATTTGATCATAAGTAGACGTGATTGTAGCAGTTTAGTCAGAACAATCCAATAAACACACCCTCCTCTTTGCAACATAAAATGTTCCCAGCTGATTACATGAACCCCCAGTAAACTCTTGAAGAGTAGTAGAGGTTCTAGTTTTAAGTCATTTCACGTGGGCGAATAAGAAAGCATCTTTTTGTGTTTTAAATCTCCAGAGACAGCAGCGTCTTAACGCAGCGCAGATTTTAAACACACAAAATGAAGGTTTTATAAGGTTTTCATTTTTTATCACAAGGAATAGAACATTTCTGAGAAGATCCTTCAAGGTGTTTGAGATATGCTGCTTGTGGCAGACTGTAAAAATGCCAAGAAAAAAAGAAAAATATGCATTCTGGCCAATACAAGCATTTCCTGCTGTAAACAGTCTTTCCAGATGGACGTTTTTAGGTCAGCTGTGTAGAGATGAGAATGCCTCTGTGCACATCTTGTTTATTCCAGCATAATCAGTGAAACGGGGTATAAATAACTCTAATCATTCAGAAAAAGCAAGCTGTGTCTTCTCTGGCGTCAGCAGCAAAACAAACTTTCTGTGACATATTTCCATCGTGAGGTCCTTTAGGATTTGATTACTTGAATTTTAATAGTAGTTAGACTTAATTTGCCAGAGTCTGTCAGAACAAAGAGGTTATTCCTAAAATATGTTGCTACTATTTTGTTTTTATAAATGATCATAACTTTTTCTAAATATTACACAATCATTATGCAACAGGACTTTTTGGCCTTTTGAGCAAGCTGAGTGGGTAAAGGTAGAAGTGCCTTCAGGGTTAGCTTTTTTTCTGACAAAAGAATAATGTTCTTAAAGCAACACTTAAGAGTTTTTAACTACTGCTTTCAAACTGGTTTCAGTGGTTCTTCAACCAGAAACTTGAGGAGTTTCACATTGAATAGAACTCTGCTGCCCTCTGCTGACCAGAAATTGCACTTAAGAGTTTTGTAGTTCGGATAGGAACACTAGTGGAAGGTCTAATCCTGCTTTATAGCCATTTACTGTGCCAGTAGAGGTTAGCCTTATTAGTTTGCTGCCCGATAATCCATACATCCATTGTCTGAACCCCCTTGTCCATGGGGGTGGGGGTGGGGGGGGAGGATGATGCCTACACCCTGGACAAAGTGCCTGTCCATCGCAAGGCAACACAGAGACACACAGGACAAACAATCATGCATGCACGCGCGCACGCAAACACACACACACCTAAGGACAATTTTGACGGACCAATCAACCTAACAGTCGTGTTTTTGGACTGTGGGGGGAAGCCGGAGCACCCGGAGAGAACCTGCACATGCACAGGGAGAGCGTGTTAACTCAATGCAGAAGGATCCCAGGCCGGGAAGCTAACCCAGGACCTTCTTGCTGCAAGGCAACAGTTTTAACCAATGTGTCACTGTGCAGCCCCTATCCGATGACAAAAAATGTAAAAGGAAGAAGAAGAATTTGCTTTTTTTTGGTTGGCATTAAAGACGAGCCTGGAGGTAAACGTAAGAGAGTAATGTCTTTGGAGGTAAAGCAAAGAGCTAAAACCAGAGTGGCCTATACTTGTCTGAGGGAGTGGAAGGAGGCTTTAAAATCTTGTACTGATGATGACCTAGCTTTGTTGCTACTTGACTTGCAAGTAATAACACTTTTGGTCCGGCAGTTCGGATCTTTTTACTTAATGGTTTATTTTATTAGCTAGCTCACATTAGTGTTAGCTTGTTGTTAGCTACAACAGGTTTGCAACAGTGTTTCCAGTAGAAGTGCAAATATTCACTAGTCTCACGATTCAATTAGATTACAATTATTGTGTGAATGATTCGATTCAATGTCATGATGCATATGATTTCATATGGATTTGTTTTCATAAATCAATAGGTGTCCGATAGAACATGCCATCACCCAAAAAGCTCTTCATTCACAACAGTCCTCAGGCTGTGGGGAAAACATGCTCTGCAGATGCTAACAAAATCTTAAAAAAAAAAAAAAAATACTGAAAACCTATAGGACATGCCTAATTCTTGTCTTTCATTTAGTTAATAAAATCCATAATAGGTCCATATCTTAAATTTCAATGCCTTTGAGCCAGTGGCAGCTCCAGAATTTTTTTTCTGCAGGTGCTATGAAGGAGCTAGTCTTTTAATTGAGGGTGCTTTGAAGGAAGTGGTCATGCTTACCTGTTGTTCTCTAAAACACCTTCAACACTAGCAGATACACATGCGTGTACAAAACCTCAACAACACCTGAATCATTAATATACATTATTAACATATGAACAATCTCTGACTTTTCCATGAAATCATAAACACATACAGCCACACAGAAAACCATCTATAGTGTTGCAAGGTTAGCTAACGTTAGCATTAGCATTTCCAGCAGCTAAACCCTCGACTGCTGCAGTGGTTGAGGGTTGACTCTCTTCATCCAGATCCGTAGGTTTTTGTGGGTCTGAGATCACTTCCAAAGATTCATTCATTTCTGACTGAACCCGTGGAAATTTGGGCAACAAAAACCGATCCATTTTACCACTAGCTCCACCTTTCACTCGTTCGCAGGTGGAAAATGAGGTCAAAGGTTAACAAATTTCGTGTTTTGGTTTAAGTTTTTACTATCTACATGATAATTTACTGATTTTTGTTTTGTATGTTAATTATCACATCCACACGTTAAATTAAAATTAAATTGTAAAATTTTTTTTAAAAATCTAATATGGTTTATACTTGGGGTGCAATGACTAATCCAGGAGTAGCTATAGCGCCCCCTAGCGCTCCCCTGGCACCGCCACTGCTTTGAGCAGCTTGGATGTCAGATACTGATACCGCAGTTCAACAGGTGTGTCCTCCTCTCCTCTATTTTATTTAACCTTTACTTACCCAGGAAAATAACCCACTGAGATTAAAAACCTCTTTTTCAAGGGAGTCCTGCAGCAAACATCACATAAATATACAGAAACGAAGTTTACACAATTAAGACCCATATAAAAAAACAAAAAAACATAATAAAAAATAGCTAAAAACTAAAATAAATACAATTCCTAAAAAACAAAACAAAACTAAGAAACAAGTAGATTTAAAACCTTAAAATAATCTAAATAAAACTGTTGCATGTCAGTATATTGCTCTCAAGATTCCTTAGATAGGATTTAAAATTTTGCAAGTGTGACTTAACCCATCGGGCTCACTCGGTTTGGGTTTGGTCAGGTTAGAACTCCAGCGCTCAGCCCTGCACCGCCACTTAAAGGCGGACAATATTTCATCATCAGTAAATGTGGCGACACACACACATCCCACTGCACAAATGCAGCAATAAAAATCAAACACTACAATCGATTATGGCGTCCTTCTTCAACGATGCACCGTGGTTCATGTATGCATCTGGATGCATCAATTGTTAGATTATTTTCCTCACAGGGAGAAACCTTTGAAGTGATACTTCCACATTGTAAATGTTACCTCAGCCGTCCGTCCTGAGCTGCGGCTCCTCCAGGTATGATTTTGGTGATGAAGATGCTGGGGTCGTCGCCCACATGAGGGTTGTCTGTTCCCCCTGCTATGCTGAAACCAAGGCCCGAGTTGCCCTGCAGCAGCAAACCCACAGCAGTATTTACTGACTTTGAAAACACAGCGACACGAGCTTTTTAAAGTATCAAATGAAGTCCAACGTCCCAAACCTACTCGTTCTAGTGTGATTTCCTCGTACTCGATTTCTCCTTCCGTCCCATTTACCTGTCAGAGGAACAGGCAATCTTTCAGGATTTGACTTGTTCAATAAGACACAGCTGGAGATGGTTAACCCATTTCTAGCCTGAGCTCTGGGCTGGATCATCTCAGCACCACTAATTTAGCTGGATTTGACCCGTGGGTGAACAACCTGACTAAAAATACCAGCCTTACCTCTGCAATTAGGAAACTCCCAGAGGAAGAGGGAAGTTAAGAAGCTTCAAACTTTACAGTTTTCAGGTTCCGACCCAGAAAAACACTTTTCTTGTTGCAGTGATTGTCTAAAACAAACTTCTGGGTGACAGCTGAGTGTGAAGCCTCATTTTCCCATCCCTCACATGATTATTCAGTGATTTAGACATTAAAAACAGCATCATTAGGAGAGGGCGACTCAGATACATGTTACTGTCACACCAAACGTTCATCAAGCAGAGAAAAGGAGTTAAATTAATTACTCTTCTCTTTCAGAATAAAACAAAAAAGCAAGAAATAATTGCACCGATTATACAGGCTGAAAATGGAGGCAGCTACGTTGTTCCAATATAATAATGAAAAATTTAAGATGGTCCTTACATATGGTGAGCCATCGAGTGTATCAGTGTTCACAACCACTGGAGGAGTGTTTCCCTGCAGGGAGAAAGAGAAAGATATTAGGGAATAATGGCAGGAACTCATAGAAGAGGCTGAAAGCTGGCGTCTCGTCAGGACTGATGGCCGTTTCAGGGTGACGATGAAGACCTCGCTCTGCTGCAGCTGTCACCCTGCTAAAGAGTAAAAACCACCACTCCACAGCCGTTTGTTATCATCCATCCATAATGAGCACAAAATAATTCATGCTAGCTCCAGTGCTTTGATTATGTCACATTTGCTGTCCTAATGGTTGCTTTATTTGGCTGCAGGTGTGGGTCTAATGAGGCTGTGTTAACTGGAGCTGCAAACGACCGTCTCATGGACGCTGTGGACGGAGGACACGCAGCCCTCCATCCCAGCAGTCATTTCAAACGCTCTGAGTAAATTACGTTCAGGCACATGGTTGGCAAGGGTCCAACACACTCAGAGGATGACGAGGATGCACAAAGTTGGTAGCTAAACACTGACAAGCAGCACGGTTAACTCAGACTGCCCACATCATCATGGCCATTTATTCTCAGACCACGGGTTCTCTGATATGATTTGTGCCAAACGGACAGATGAAGATGTACAAGGAGACAAGATGTTATGAAAACAAAAAAGGCCCACGCAGGAAATCAAAGTTTAGGTTTTGATTAGTAGCCAAGCTCTTCATTTGGCCCGTCTGAAGTCCTCATTTTCCTCCTCGTACATCATTTCTCCCGGTGAAACTAACGACTCTAAAAGTTCCCCCAAAAAGATTCCAAGAATTCCCAAGTCCCAATAAACCAGAAGATGGAAGAAAACACGAGCCAACATGTAAAAAAGCAGCTTTAACCTCTACTGGACACCATTTCCTGATTATCACTAATCAAATTAAATAATTTTCATTACTTTCTTAAAAGTGTACTTTTCTCATCAATGTAACTTATGGAGTAATATGGGGGGACGTGTACTTTGCTGATTGGAAAACTGAACTCCACCTGCTCTCTTGGACACTCCGATTAGCATGAACACGCTGCATCTAAAGTGCTTACAGCAGCAAAGAGCAGTGTATGAAATCAGCCCACTGACCTTCACAGACCTGACAGCTCCGACACACACAGACAGCTAACACACAGCAACGCTGAACCCGTTCCCTCAGCTTTTACAATAAAACACCCCACTTTCCTCAGCAGCGCTCCCCTCTGCTCCTATTTCAGCGGTGGGCCGTCACTCAGTCTAATGTATGTTTTAATCTAACGTTTCTGCACAAGACTTTTCAAAACTGCAGCACTGCTCTGGCCATTTAAGAATAATCACAAATGTCAGCAGAAAACAGCAGCAGCTGACAGCGTTCGCATTGCATTTGTTTCCCAGGATTTTACACGATTTGCAATTAAAAGTGACATCTTGTTTGTGACACTGTGGATGTGAAAAAGGGCTTTCTGTAAAACTCTTTTGTACGTTCATTCTGTGCTTTTATTCTTGTTCTCTTCTCACACAGTTTAGTAAGCGCTCTGATGATGGCTAGAGATACTAGCTGAAACATGTCAGGAGAAAAACAATTTTTTTTACCAAACTGTGTAGGAAAAGAACAAGAAATGGATTTTCTTTAGTATTTTTTGTGGAATTTAAGTTCAGCTAACCACTGAGTGTCTATTTAATGAAGCAGAACAGCAGCAGGAGAAAACATAATAAAGTTTGTAGTTTTGCACGAAGTCTCTGCTTCTTTAAACACAGGCTGCTCAGTTATGAGAGTTTGGTAGTCGTGTTTTTTTCAGTATTTGAATTATAATCATTTAATATGAACCCTCAATGAAATGGGTAAAATGTTGCATTTATTTCTCATCTTAAGATAAAAAATCACCATGAATGTTGGAACATGGCTCGTCAAAATAAGAGCACCAAAGTATACACACACACACACACACACACACACACACACACACACACACACACACACACACACACACAATAACATTTCTAGAGTGATGGAATTTTGTCTCTACAACTGGTTGTTGGTGTAAATAAACAGTTTTTAAACCATTCAAATAAAATAATTCCCCATAAATGTTTATTGCATTGAAATAATATTTTTATGTGTGTATGTTTATATATATGTAACACATTCTAACACTGAGTGCTATAAAAGCAGAGAAGAGCTGCTAAGAGACCCTGGATGTCCAACTATTGTGTACATTATAATGCCCCTGTGTATTTTTTTTTCCAGTTTCATCTTACATCACTCTGCAATTAAAGCTCTCTTGTGGAGTTTTCTCCTTTCAATTATGTATGATTTTCCAGAAATCCATAAAAGTGATTGTCCTATTACGTACTGTGCATCTTTTTTTTGCTAAGCCCGTCCCGTAGAGCTTAATGCAAAATGAACTGAGCGCTGACAGTGTTAGACTAATGCTTACGTACAAATGTCAATCACAGCGCGTACTCGAGCGTTTAAGGATCTTTTCTTCTTCTTCTTAAACTTTTAGAAAATGAGGTGTTTAGGGTAGAATCTGTGAGGTTTGACAAAATAATAAACTTCAATAATGATGTATATATTTTTTGAGTTATAGTAACCATTGTGGGCCTATATTTAAGGGCTGAAACAAATCTATGCTTTGCATTTTTTTAAATGAACGTTTGAAATCATGTTCTCGAGAGGTTAACGAGAACAGATGTTATCTTTTAATGCCTTCATGCTACTCAAGACCACTCAGTCCTGATGGTGAAAAAAGGAAGTTTGATTTGAAATGAGCAGAAATGATAAAAAGTCCTTGCTGCGTGCTAATTATCACTGATCAAACACTTCCTGTTTAATATTGTGTAGGTCCTCTTGTTGCTCCTAAAACAGCTTGAGTCTATTAAGGCACTGGGCTCTTTTCATGAGGCATCCTCTCATTATGTATGTCACTGTGTTTCTTTGAATGAGAGGGCGATAGGAACATGTTTCCTTGTTCTTAGTCTTTGCAGATATGCCTTCTGTCTCCTCCAGGTGCACGGAGGATTTAGCGGGACCATCTGTGACAAAGACTGGATGCATGTGTTTCTCAGGAACTCCATGAGACCTCTGAGGGCGTCACGAAGCATCAAACGGCAAGATGTCTTGTATCTCGCAAGGTGCTGCTGATGAACGTGTTTATGTTCTCGGATAAGGTTTGTGTAAAAGCCACAAGCTGTGGATCACACTCACGTCTCTGCATGGAATTGGACAACGCTAGGACACATCAGAGCAACAACACAACATGACATAGTCGTCAGTGCAGAAATCAGTCCGCCATACACCATCAAAGCAGCAAATACATCCTAAAGGACTGTAGCACCTCTTCCTGCCCTGTCAAAGAGCACTGTTCCCGAGCCGACGCCATCTTTGTAGTTTTTCTCTGGTGCTAAACCCGCCCAACATCTCTCTACAAAGAGATTGTTTGGCCCAATGATGAGCCTAATCTTTTGCCGCTGTTACATTTGGTCTAGATCTAATTTACAGGCGCCATGATGTCAGAAACAAAATAATCGGTTTTAACATAAATAACTACATTTAGAAAAATAAATATAGCAAATAAGAATTATGAAAATCAACACCTGGAAAACATGTTTAAATGTTCTGTCCTTTTAGCTTTTTAGTGGCTTCTGCGTCCTCCTAAAGTCCCTCCAGTGAGCTGTGTTCTCTCGGTGAGGCTGGACCCATGTAGGATGCATCTCTGCTCCCGGCTCTGACCGAGGCTGGTGTCTACACGTAGCTGATAAAAGTCTCCGAACTCGTCGTAAACACAACATCCTAACTGATCAACATTCCTCAGAGACAACACAACAAAACTCCTTTACTGTTAAAATAGATGTATGAACAATTTCATAGATCGATATCCTCTGCAGGTTGTTATTAACGGGATCCATGTAAACACATTAAGCCTTCCCCATGCTGGCCTCAGACTACCTCTGGTGGATCACTGGCCCTCTGTTCACGTCTAATGAAGGTTATAGAGCTCCATTGTGCTGCTAGGCCGACTAGTGCTGCTGATCTCTGTGTCAAATACATCTTAATCTGGTGGGGAGAAATAATCAGTGTAGGCCTCAGAAATCTGAGGCTGGTGCAGACACCCCCCCCCCCCCCCCCCAACACCCCTCACTCTGTCAAGTCCTTCAACATCAGGGTTGCTAGGATTTAAAGAGTTTGGCTGCACTCACCCCACCTATATTTTAACCCCACCCACTGAGCCGAGCCGTGTCTGGCATCTCTTTACGGGCTGCGCTGCCATTCATCCACAGCCTAATAGATGTATATGCAGCCAACTGATTTCCACACTTCATAACCGTAAAAGCTTACAATAAAAGCTGTAGATTTCAGAGGGATGTTGGATGGGAAAAATAAAAAAATAACAGCTCTGACGGCGTCTTCGCTTTTTTGTGTTGGGAGTAATTGTGCACATAGCACTAATCAAATGGATCATTTCAGGTGGCGGGATTGTGTAAGAAAGGCGTTAACGTTGCATTTTATCTGAACGCTGGTCCAGTTAGAGAGCCTTTAAGATGCTTTCCAGTTAGCATGCATAAAGGTGACCTCCACCCAAGTATAAAGTGTAAAATTGTAGGCAGCCATTATGGTAATTTAGTATTTTTATAGACGGCTGGAGCTGCTCTGGCAGATTTACACGGGATCTCAGTTTTCATTTCCAGTGGCATCATAAATTATAATAAAAACTATAAATCAGGACTTGTGTTGTGTTTTTTTATGAAAAAAGTCAACTCATTTAAGTATTTTAACTTTGGTCGACATCCCATTAGCTCTACTAGACTGTCAAAATAAAAGTCTTAGCCTGGATAGAAGTTTAGCATCAACCCACATTCTACCAACATCGATTTCTCCTCTTTTATGAAGTCAAATCAAAGCTTAACCTAACAAGTATGCAAAACACATTTAACATTTCCTACCATCACATGGCGCCGATACTTCTTGGCTTTTCGCACATTGTGGAGGAATCTGGAGCCCATCTTTTTGGCGTACCACGCTGACATAAACATGATGTTTGAAAAGTTCACAG